CAACCTGTCATCCACGTGGCTGGCCTTGTACGTAAGAGGTTATGAACAGGTGGAGCTTTCCTTACCTCTTCCCCCTCCCCCTTTTTTCCTTTTCCTTTTTTCTTTTCCCTTTTTTGCGCTCTGATTCACAATGTGACAATATATATACAGCCTCCTGATGAGTCGGTGAAACTCCGACGAAACAGTTTGTCACAGCCCGTCGTTTGTTGTCCTCTTCTCTCTCTCTGCCTACGGTTTACCGGGCAGTTCTGTTTGTGACGATATATATATTAATATATATATATTTTATATAAAATAGGGTTCAGCGTCCTGATGAGTCGGTGAAACTCCGACGAAACAGTTTGTCACAGTTCAAACAGAACTGCCTGCGGTAAACCGTATGAAGGCAGAGAGGGAGACGAGGGGCTGTGGGCCTCTTTTCTTTGCCTCTTTGCCCTTTGTCTGTGTGCAAGTGGGTCGATATGACACACGGGGGTGGGGGCAGCCGCCGCTCAACCTACATCCACGTGGGTGACCTTGTACGCAAGCGGTTCTGAACAGGGGGAGTCTTGTAAGAGAGAAGATCAAAAAACGATTTATTTTTTCTTGTTTAGATCAAAAAACGATTTATTATTTCTTGTTTTCTTCTGTTTTTTTCGCCTTTGCGCTCTGATATTCATGTGACAATCTATATATACGTAGTCTTATATGTATGTCAACGTATATGTATATATGTACGTATAATATTTTTTATTACAAAAAACTATATATTGACCATGAAGATGGTTTGAAGATGGTGAGGACTTCATCGTGTAGTATGTAGTAAACTCGATCATCTCGATGGATAAGAGAGGCGTCGCGTCGGTGACATGACCTATCGAAGATCAATCCATGGTACCCATCATCTACCCCATTATCTATCCTGATTAATTCATCCATGATCTTTCGTCGATCTTTCGGTGACCTTTCGTCTAAATCCAAAATCATCAGATAGATGAAGCGTCGCGGATAAATTCATGGATAGATCATGGATAGATCATGGATAGATCATGGCTTGGTCTTGGATAGATCATGGATAGATCTATCCACGTGGTCTATCCAGATTTATACCTTATCCATCTATGTCCATGAGTATCCATCTGTGACGCTTCATCTATCCGATGAGACTACTGAAGGAATGCCACCTCCATTGAGAGACGCAATAACTCTTTATGGTATGAAACGAAATGGATCGATGAAGCGTCCTGGACATCAAAACATCATCAACAATTTATCTATCAATCCATCCATCTATCTATCTATCTATCTGTCATCATCATCATCATCATCATCATCATCATGTACCTTGACCCATGAAGCGATCCAATATCGGAGCATCAAAATCTCAATCAACGAAGTCCTACAGTAAATTATTAATCAATGAAGCGACCGAATCAGCAAATCTCAATCAACGAAGTCCTATTTGCGATGAGACGATCGAATCGATGACCACAGTCCCAATCAATCGCATCAACGATCCGAGTTGCAAAATACAAATAGAGCGAAACGACCGTGCGTTCTATTCGGGGGGATACAAATAGGTAGATTAGGGTAGTGG